CGTGTTTCCAGAGAAGTTACATGGAGTGCCTCCGGAGAGGCAGGTGGAGTTCAGGATTGATCTGGTGCCGGGCGCGGCCCCTATCGCTAAGGCGTTGTACCGACTGGCACCGCCAGAGATGCAGGAGTTGTCATCTCAGTTTCAGGAGCTGCTGGGTAAGCAGTTTATTCATCCGAGTAGTTCCCCATGGGGAGCATCGATCCTCTTCGTCAGGAAGAAGGACGGTTCGCACAGGATGTGCATCGACTAGAGGGAGTTGAACAAGCTAACTGTGAAGAACCCTTATCCACTCCCAAGGATAGATGATCTTTTCGATCAGCTGCGGGGTGCATCTTGGTTGTCCAAGATCGACTAGAGATCCGGGTATCACCAGCTCAGGGTGAGGGTGGAAGACGTGGAGAAGACTGCGTTTCGAACTCGTTATGGTCATTACGAGTTCGTGGTGATGCCGTTTGGGCTCACCAATGCGCCGGCAGTGTTCATGGATTTGATGAATCGGGTCTGCAGACCGATGCTCGATCACTTGGTCATTGTGTTCATTGATGATATCTTGGTGTATTCTAAGACCCGAGAGCAGCACGAGGAGCACCTCAGGGAGCTGTTGGAGGTTCTGCGACGAGAACGGCTGTATGCCAAGTTCTCGAAGTGTGAGTTTTGGTTACGAGAGGTCCAGTTTCTCGGACATCTCGTTAACCAGGAGGGGATTTTGGTCGACCCGACCAAAGTCGAGGCGATTATGCAGTGGGAGATTCCGAAATCTCCCTCAGACATTAGGAGTTTCTTGGGATTATCAGGGTACTACCGTAGATTCATTCGAGATTTTTCCAAGATTGCAGTACCCCTCACTCGTCTAACAAGGAAGGGGTGGATTTTCGATGGGGCCCTGAGCAGCAGAGGGCATTTGCGACCCTCCGGCGATGTTTATGTGAGGCGCCAGTGTTGACGCTCCCCGAGGGAGTCGAGGATTTCGTAGTATTTTGTGATGCATCCATCACAGGTCTGGGGGCGGTCCTCATGTAGAGGGGGCGGGTGATAGCCTATACATCGCGGCAGCTGAAGCCGTATGAGACGAGATACCCTACGTACGATCTTGAGTTGGGAGCAGTGGTATTCGCTCTCAATATTTGGAGGCATTATCTGTACGGGGTCTGATGTACTATATACACGGACCACAAGAGTTTAAGGCACATCATGGATCAGCCGAACCTGAATATGAGGCAGCGCAGGTGGCTGGATGTAGTCAAGGACTATGATTGTGAGACCCTTTACCATCCTGGTAAAGCGAATGTGGTTGCGGACGCTTTGAGCCGCAAGTCAGTTGGGTCTACTACCCCAGCAAGGTGTATGAGGATAGCGGTGGATTCCCCGCTTGTGAGTTTGATTAGGGATGCTCAGGTTGAGGGCATGAGACCATAGAACTGGAATTTGGAGCGGATTAAGGGCGAGAGCACCCGGTTTGTTCAGGATAGTCGGGGGTTATTGACCCGACACGGTCGGGTTTGGGTTCCGATGTCTGGAGGGGTCCGGCAGACAGTGATGGAAGAGGCTCATAAGTCTCACTTTTCTATACACCCGGGGGCCACCAAGATGTACCGAAATTTAAGTTTGAGCTACTGGTGGCCATGTATGAAGTGATAAATCGCTTGGTATGTTGAGAGGTGCCTGACCTGTAGAATGGTCGAGGTCGAGCATCAGAGGCCGCATGGTAAGCTGCAGCCTCTGGAGATTCCCATGTGGAAATGGGAACAGATCACGATGGACTTCATTACGAAATTGCCGAGGACGGCGAAGGGGTTCGATGCTATATGGGTCATCGTGGATCGGTTAACCAAGAGTGCCCATTTCTTGGCCATACGGGAGAGTTCGTTGGCCGAGAGATTGGCCGATATGTACGTCAGCGAGATTGTCTCTCGCCATGGGGTTCCAGTCTCCATTATGTCCGATCGGGATGTCAGGTTTACTTCCCGTTTTTGGCAGAAGTTTCATGAGGAACTGGGTATGCGGCTGCACTTTAGTACAGCGTTCCATCCGCAGACCGATGGACAGAGTGAGCGAACCATTCAGACCCTCGAAGATATGTTGAGGTCGTGTATCATCGATTTCGGTGGGAGCTGGGATTCCCATCTACCGCTTGCAGAGTTCGCCTACAACAACAGCTATCCTTCCAGTATTGGCATCGCGCCTTTTGAGCTGTTGTATGGTCGGAGATGTAGAACCCCGGTCTGTTGGGGTGAGGTTGGACACAGAGTGATGGGTCGGACGGAGGTAGTCTTGCAGACTACCGAAAAGATCCAGCAGATCAGACAGCGGTTGCAGACCGCACAGAGTCGGCAAAAGAGTTACGCTGATAGACGCCGATCAGATTTAGAGTTTCAGGTTGGTGACATGGTACTTCTGAAGGTCTCTCCCTGGAAGGGTGTGATCCGCTTCAGGAGGAGGGGAAAACTGGGTCCCCATTATATTGGGCCATTCAGGATTATTGCCAGGGTTGGCAAAGTGGCTTATAGGCTTGAGCTACCAGAGGGGCTCAGCCGAATTCATAGCACGTTCCATGTTTCGCAATTGCGAAAGTGTATTATGGATCAGGAGGCAGTAGTATCGCTGGATGATATTCAGGTCGATGAGCGTCTGAATTACGTGGAGAGGCCTGTATCCATCTTGGAAAGGAAGAAGAAGATTTTGCGGAACAAAGAAATACCTTCGGTAAAAGTGCAGTGGGAGCATTGGAAAGGATCCGTGTGGACGTCGGAGCCGGAGGCGGAAATGCGGTACCATTACCCGGCGTTGTTTATTCCAGCAGACTTCGAGGGCGAAGTCTAGTTCAAGTGGGGGAGAATTGTAACGCCCCGATTCCCAGGTATTGTTTAAATAAGAATTTAATTGGTTTCAAGGCCTACTCGACGAATTGTTGCCCTACTCGTCGAGTAGCAGTGGGTTGCTTCGCGTATTTAGTGGCCTACTTGCCATGTCCATGAAGGCACTCGACGAGTAGGAGCTGGCAGATGAAACTCTAAATTTCGGGGTTGTGCACCCTATTTAAGGAAGCATAAGCCTCCTTTGGCCTCTTTGCAGTCCTTTGAGAGCTCAGAAAACCCTACTTCGTGTGGTGCTTCATTCTTGTGTGTCTAAAGCTTTGGAGAGGAGATCTTTTGAGAAGAAGAGCTTGGAGAACAAAAGGCTAGGAGCAAGGAAGTGTGGGAAATCTGAAATCTACCTCAGAAAGCATCATTTGGAGGTATCAGGTCGTCACCTTTTGTTCTTTTCCTTCTAGACCTCTTTTGGGTTGAGATCTAGGGTTTTTATGGTTTGATTGAGATGGTAATGTGGGATATGAGCTAGATCTAAAATTGTAACTTCAGATCTGTACCCTTCTTGGGTTCTAGAGTCATAAAGCTCCGAATTTGGTCATGTATAAAGCCTCTTTGAGTATGAAACCCCCATTGTGAGCTTGGATTTGACATTAAGAGCCTTTGTAGCTATGCATGCACGTAAAGTTTGCAACTTTACGTGAAATGCATGCCTTAGAATCTTGGATCTGTAGTTTGGAGCCGCTGCATGGCTCAAATGAGTATGTATGGCAAAAAAGACTGAAGGGACTCGGCGAGTCGTATGGTCGACTCGGCGAGTCATATGAAGATAGGCATGAACTCGGCGAGTTGGAAGAACAACTCGGCGAGTCCAATGAAGATTGTCGTAGACTCGACGAGTGGATGAACAACTCGGCGAGGCGGTTGAGGTTTCCCCAATTTATGTATGCGCGTGTAACCGTCAAGTTGCAAGAGGGAAGCTTGACGAGTGGCCTTAGGGTCTGGATCGTAAACCAAAGGAACTCGACGAGTCACTTAGGTGACTCGGCGAGTGGGTTAGTACTCCAAGGAACTCGGCGAGTAGTCGGGGGTACTCGGCGAGTCAAGGTCAACATGGACTGTTGACCTTGACTGATGACTTTGACTTTGACCAACGGTTGACTAGTAGGTTTATGGAGTACCTTGTAAGGTTGAGGACTTATGGGTATATTCATACTATGGTAATAGGTGGTGGAGTTTGTGGCAGTGATCCGAGGGTTGAAGTTTATCTACCGAGTCGACATCTGCAATGTGAGTTATCCTCACTATATTGATAGGGTCTAAGGCACCAAGGCCGGCCCTTTAGTTGTTATCGTTATGGTATGCTACATGTGGATATGATCTGTTAGATCGGAATCAGGATAGACAGTATGTTATGCTCTTATGATCCGTAGGGATTGATATGTTAGTGACCTGCTAGGTCAGTGCCCTAGTTATGAGAGATTGCTATGTTTGGTGATCAGTGAGATAGATATGTTTGATGTTTGTATATGCCAGTATATGTTAGTTATGCGCACATGGTTATTTGTTTGTTGCTTGGGTTGAGGCGGTCCTGCTTTGTGCTGAAGGCCAACATACCCTATGAGAGGTCCGGGGAGACTGTAGGCCCACGTGGCGGTCCAGTTATGCCGAAGGCTCAGGACAGATTCAGATTCAGATAGACTGTAGGCCCTATTGGGCGGTCCATTCAGGCCGATGGCCCAGCATGCATGTTGTTGATTGTCTGTTACTGATATGGTATTATCAGTGGGGTATTGGTATTTTGGGAGTAGCTCACTAAGCCCTCGGGCTTACAGTTTTCAGTTTATTGTTTCAGGTACTTCAGGAGATCATGGCAAGGCGAAGGCGTGACCGTACCGCTCCTCATCCTTATGATCTGGTTATTGGGACACTCTGATGAATAATGATTGAAAACATTTTGTAAACAATTACTATTTGGTTTTATTTATGATTGAAAAAGTTTAAGTTTGGCGTAAAATTTTTGGATATTACATCGGAACTTGCAATCCACTCATTCAATGTTGTTTATTCCATGTAATAGTAAATTATAGAAAACTTATTTGTAAACAACATTCTTTGTCATATTGTTACCACACTTCCCGTTGTTGTCAATATAAAAGTGAACACCAGCATGAGAGGTTACACGAGACGCTGTCACGTAAAGCTGACCATGTGAAAAAACAGGTTTCGCCAAGAAAGCACATACATGATTAAACGTTTGCCCTTGACTTTTGTTGATTGTCATAGCTAAGCAAACTTTTACATGAAATTGTCTTCTTTTAAATCTAAAAGGCCATGTTGTATCCGATGCAGTCATATCAATCCTACCAATTAATACTTTTTCTGCAATATGAGTACCGGTAATAATCATCGCCTCCAAAACCCTCCGACTAATTTGTGTGATGACCAACCGAGTCCCGTTGCACAAACCTCTTTGCAAATTTAAGTTACGTAACAAAATGATCGGTGCACCAACCTTTAAGTTTAACTTATGGTTTGGAATTCTTGAATACCGCAACGTGTTAAGAAATTCTAAAGAATACATAATTTCCAATTCGGCAAATTTATCAGTACTTCGACAAATCTCATCAGCACTTAACATTTCATGCATGTCACCAGACATCTTACAAAGCACATGTAAATTGATCATGTCAACATCATCATTTTTCGGGCAAATGATGCATCGTTCCTTTATGTAAGAGATGTCGTTAACTCTACTCAAAATATCAGGGAATACAATGGATGCAACATCATCAATAGGATTATCAGCAACAGGAATAAGAAGATCATCAGGTATAGTGATCCATGTAGCATCGTCTTCACCTTCAACTATACACGTAGGAAGCCGACCAACACCCATATCAAGAATCCATTTACTAAATTCACACATTTTTATAAGTCCAGTGCCAGTAATGTTTTGATCAGACAAACGCATGTTAGTTGTCAAAACAAAAAAACAACATGAATTCCATAGATCTTCTGATTTGTTTATACAAGAGGAAACAAGATCAGAACGTGTTCCATGTTGAATAACAGGCAAAATTTGACGAAAATCACCCCCAAGAACTACCACTTTCCCTCCGAACACTTTGTTTTCAGATCCAGGAACATAATAACGACATACATCACGAAATGCACGATCAACAGCTTCAAAAGAATAACGATGTTGTAATGGAGCTTCGTCCCAAATAATCAGCTCAGCAATATTAATCAACTCTGCGAGATCTGAGCCAATATCGATACCACAAGTTGAGTCTTGATCAATATCAATAGGAATATTAAACATGGAGTGCGCTGTACGACCACCTGATAATAACAAAGAAGCAATGCCAGATGACGCGACTGATAAAACAATCTTTCCATGTGATCGAATAGAAGCAATAATTGTTCTCCACAAATATGTTTTGCATGTCCCTCCACAACCAGATACAAAATAAAAGCCACCTGTCTTCTCAGTGACAGCATTAATTATAAGAGTATAAACTTCTTTATGTTGCACATTTAAACCACTGTATAGCTCATTGAAAATTATTATTTCTTCTTCGACATTGTATGCCCGCTCAGCAGCAATTAACCTATTCGAAAGTATAGTTAACAAACTATGGTTTAACTGAGGTAGATTGGGGAAATCAACCAATGAATGACAATTCCCATATAAAATATTATCGATATAAAGCAGAGTGTAGTTTACCAACTCATCATGCGAGAACATTAGATCTTCATTATCAAGCAATCTACGTTGATTATAAGCAACATCTTCTGATAAAAATGGAAAACAATCCCAAAAAAACTTTGCTTGATCAGTAACACCACAAAATAACAAAATAATTACAAATAGTTCTCGAAGTTGGTTTCCTGACTGCCATTGGGAAGCCTCTCGGATTGACTCAAGCCATTCACAATCATCTCCTAATAACCTTAACGCTTTGCAAGCAGACATATATGTCGGATGCTCAACACCATCAACAGTGCGAATATCTTTAAAACTACAGGGTCCACGTACAACATTTAGTAGCATACGAAGATAATACCTTTCTCCTTCGTTTGGATTTACAAAATATAACTGACCAATAACCAAACCATTTTTACATGGCCTCCATTCCTTAACATCCCCTTTTTCATGCCATGTAAACTTCGTCGGGAAGTCTGAATAAGTTAACAATCGAACTTCTGGATATAATTGATTTGCTCTCATCCATTCAGTAAACTTAGACACCACAGATACCCTCCTATCCAGAACTTCTGCAATATCATCATCTTCTCTAAAGTAAACTCTTTGACAATCTTCTTCGTGAAATGGTAGTCTTTCTACTACAACCGAGCGATACTGCATCTCAGAGCCCAACAATTTCCAACATGAGTCTGATACACAAATGTAACGGCAATTAATATATTCTTCGATCTCATTCTCGTGGTGCAACATCGATATAAAATATCGTGTTCTGTCTGGACCTTCCAAAACAGCAGTGGCACGATCATGGCCTTTATTAATGTAACTAAAAAGATACTTAATCAAACTACCTTGGTTGCAATACTCAACATTTATATGACAACCATATTTGACAAGCAATTCGACGTTATGAGGAACAACGTATCGGTTATCAAGCATGATATCCTCATTACCAACTTTAACTTTCGAACCATCGTTAGACCTTTTATAACAGGGCCAACCATCACGCCTAATGAAAGTTTCATCACAATATTCCTTAGGGTATCCTTTAGAACAACTTCCATTGTGCATACATGGAATTAAAGTGTTAAGTTGGCCACATGGACCATGAATCATGTGACTACGAACAGCTTCGAAAGCAACTAGGTCATTTTCCTGAGAAGGCAACTCTGCCGATACAAATTGATCAATCTTTTGGGCTGTGGTTGTTTTATCTGGCGGATGAAGAAACACAAGACAATGACAATGTGGCAACCCACATTTTTGGAACTCAATTGTATAAATAACTGTATACACATATAATTAAAATTATATAGGAAATAACATACATTAAAATTAAAGACGAAAACAAAAATATTAAGAAAACATACCGGCTTTTGTACGACCAAAATGATGTTTTTTCCTTATGTCATTCATGAGCTCATCAAGCTTAATCTTAAACATAGGCGCAACAATGTCAGGTCTATCGGTACTTGGTTGACCAGGTACCATTTTTTGAATATGACGTTCAATTTCAGGCCATTTAGGGTTGCACGTCATCGTAACGAATAGGTCCAGTGTTCCAGCCCAGCGGCATATGGCCATTGCATCCTGATATATTGTTGTATCTTATGCCTCGTTCCACCATTTAATGATGATGGTAGTATAACTCGACGACCCACATATGAAGCACTTGTTTCGCCTCTACATAAACTATCAGTCAAACCATGATACAGATCGGAACGAATAGTACTTTGGTTTCTCTTATACCATTCTAAATCATGTTTAAGCACTGCAGCATAAGCATCAACTATGAATGTATGAAACAAACGACCGGCTTTATGTAGATTTTTACCTTCATTTAACCAAAAATGAAAACAAAAACAATAATATTTCCTCAAGGTAACATTCTTTCTTTTATATGATGTAGAATTACTCGATAAAGGGATATTTAAATGGAACCCATCTTCTCCATATGGGAAAAGTAACGGATACTGCAACGCCATAAAAGATGGATGCAGTTCACTTATCCTTCGCACGGTACCATCACCACGATCTTCAATAAGTACATCACGAGACTGTATAGGACTACCATCACCTGGAATCAATGCAGCTACTTCAGATACAGTTGGTATATTATACTGTCTCCTGTCTTTGGTTCGGTTACCAATTAATCGAATCTTAACCGACTGTGTTGATGACTCATGGAACCTATCTTTAGCCATACGAAATGCTTGAACCAATGAGTTATTATCATCTAGCATAGAAAGGAGTTCTTCAACCAACCCTCGAAGCATAGTTACATCTGACCTTGGAGGAACACAATTGCGTAAGGCATAAAATCGATTGTCGATTTCATTTTCAGTATCATAAATGTACAACTGCACAAATCTAGGACGTCCATCCTCGTGCGTAGGTAACAAAGTACCGATTCTATGGTCATTATGTCCATTCAAATGAAATGTATACGGACCTCTACCATCATTACCACTCGTATGTATCTTTCCTCCGGTTGACGTGAACGCAAACATACGATTTAAAAGCTTAATATTTTTTCTAAAAACTTTAGATCGTCGATCACCGTTGTAATCCAGTAAGTTGCACAACAATTCAGGAGGTTGCATAAGCAAAGGCAATTAAATCTTCCCTTCACTACAACATATGGAGAATTTTGGAATGGATGGCGAATACATTTTAATGGTCCGCTCCTCATACCATAATATAGCTTGACAGTGTATACATGTGCGAGTTGCATCACCACAATCCCAATACGACAACATACGATCTAAAGAACATGAATTTAAAGGAATTAAATATAAGGAAATTACATACTATTACGAAGTTGAATAATTGATTCATAAGTATTCAAGGATTACGTTGAGAATGTATAATTTGTAATGCATTAGAAGACGAACTTCTTGCATTATCCACCGTTGGTATGGACGAATGTACAACTGAGTTATTTGTTCTAATCGGATCATTCAAGTTAGTTGTTATAGTCAAATGTAATAAATTCCCACCAATATCAACAGTTGTACGTGAAGAAATTATAATATGAGGTGATGGTCGATCGAAAGTGTGCATCTCTTCGTTGTTCAGAGGAGAGGCTAATAAAAAATATATATAATATAAATGATACATATGCTTGATCAATTTAAGTAAGAGACACAACAACAAAGAAAGGAGACACACCAGAAGAAGGTCTACCACGATGATGACATGTGGAACTAATATTGTCAATGCTAAAAGTTGGAGGTCGTCTTCTTAACCGAGGACGACCACCCCGACTTGGTCTCCAGACTGGTGGGGCTTCAAAAGTATTAGAAAGTAAAGCAATAGAACTTCTACCATTATCCAGACTATAAGTTCGTATCACCGAATGTACAACTGAGTTATTAGTTGTAATTGGAGCATTCAAGTTACTCATTATAGTCGAATGAAATGGATTCCCGTCAATTCCAATAGTTGAACTTGAAGAAATTATCATATGAGGTGATGGTCGATTGGAAGCGCGCGTCACCTCGATGTTGACAGTACAGGCTAATATAAAATTATATAATGTAAATGATACATATGGTTGCTCGATGTAAGTAACTGAGTTACAAACATAAGTATATAAACCCGATGAGAATGTCATGGTAGGTACCGAATTTGAATTAATAATATTCTCATTGACATGTATACTTCCATGTGGTGAATACCGATGAGCATTGTCACCAACAAAGTAAGGAGACGCAACAAAAGACAGTCTCCCATGACGACACCTTGGGGAAGTAATATCGTCAATGCTACAATCTGGAGGTCGTCCTCTTACCCTAGGACAACCTCCACAGCGTCGTCTCGTGACTTGTTCGACTTCAATAGTATCAGAAGGTAAACAAGTAGAAACATCGGTTGTTGAGGGTAAATCAAAGTCACTTGAATGAAGAGATGTATTACCAAGACTATCCATTACAATATATATGTTTCGATAACATATGATACATCATTAGATCCATAAACAAAGCATTTCATACACTACTTAAAAGACAAAGAACATATTGTTATGGTTTAACATAAACTCTATTAGCAATAAAAATCTATTATTTTCATAATTGACTTTCTTTATTGTTGTTATGATCCTTTTTTTGTTATAACATACATATGAAATCTGATTGTTATGTTTACAAAATAGTAAGTATTTTAAATTGAACCGAATAGCAATTTTTTTGGTTTCACTATATCATTATAAGACAAACATAAGTAAAAGAAATTTGAAAATAAAACAGTACTATAGACATATAAAGGTTCAAAAAAAATCTAATAAAAATAAACTAATAGCTAATCAAAGTAAAATTCTACTTTACTATTATACTAAATCTAAATATTGTGTGCTTCAGGCATATCTGGTTTAAATGCAAGTTGCGTAAATTTTGTTGATACCAAAAGACACTGCAAAAAAAAAATTAATATATATTACAGATAAAACAATGTCATTTAATAATTTGAAAGACAAAATATTGTATAATAATAAGGATAATATAATTTATAACATACTTGACGGTAAACGAACCAACTTGACCCGAGATGCAAAAATGATATATTTCCTTCATATTGCACGATACGTTGGAACAATAAGCGAAGCACTTGTGTCATATAGCTTCGTTTGAATTCTATGTCCCCTACAAATAATTTATAGGTTTTAATAAAACATTTGATTTTTCTATCATTTTACATACAAAATACTTATGAAAAAATTTAATAAAAATATTTACTTACAATTCATCTCCCAAAAGTATTATAAACTCATCTTTGAATTTAATCCGTTTGTCCGAGACAATTTTTCCAACAAAATCTACAAAAAAACAAAAACATAACCTAATAATATATTTATATATATTTAATATATATAATTGTTCATATGATCACAAAATAAGTATGGTTTTATATGTATCGATTATAAGTTTTCGAACAGAACTGTCATGCATAACTGTTTTAATAGGAAACACTAATGGATATAAAGGAAATCCATTGTGAAAATCCACCTCTATCGGAGTGAGTTGTGTCCTCTCATTGATAATAATCTTTAAATCACCATAAATGAAACAGTACTTTTCATATCTTGGGTATTCATGGAAGTGAAATTTTTCTACTTGAAAAGACGATAACGAAAAAAGACATCCCATCAAATGATCACCATATAAATGAAATAATTCTTGTGGGACAAAATCTGCCATTTTTTCTCTCTAAAAATATAAATTTAGTAAAACTTTATGAAAAATATAATATCAATAAGAAAGATATATACCAACATTTTTATCAATGAATATAACCAGTTTTCTTTTTCTCTCAGTGTCGTGCCATACAAAATGAACTCGAACAAATGCTATCTTATACGAAACTCCAGTATATTGGAATCGAAGAGATTGATAAACTTCAATATTGACATACTCATCCATCCTCTATAAACATTGGTAAGTTAAATTAAACAAAGTTTATGAAACGATAATCTAATATGACAAATATAATAATACGATGCCATTACAAAATCTGATGTTATTTATGTATACATACATTTATAATTACAATTGTATAAAGCATTTTATAACCAATTTAGATTTCCGTTATTAGGTTTAAAATCTATTAGATCATATGATTAACAACTTTCTTATTAATTTGGTAAACCCAAATGAAATACTTGTTAAATTTCATATTAGTATAATAGTAAATTTAAAAAAAACTAAACCATAAAATCTATTAAACATGTTAATACTATTGACTAAGAAACAAAATTTAAGATGATCTATTGTTTCAGAGAATTACATACCAAAAGAGAATTTGTTTGTGTTGACAGATATCATAAAGCAAAAGATAACCTGTATAGCAAAACATCTTACATCAAAATAAATTAAAACATAAATCCATCTACAATTTTACTCAAGAACAAACAAAATGTGGCAAAATAATCTGAATTTGTTTTCTGTAACACGTGTTATTTACCAACAAACCAACAAAAGCAACAAACATACTAAATAAAGTTGAAAACGCAATACAATATTTCAATGGTTAAACGATCCAACTTATCCAATTTCACAAAAATCATATACTTTTTGCGGTATATAGCACTTACCAACATATAAACAAACATTAAAAAAGGAGAAAGTAATAGTTAATATGAAGTTGAAACCTTGTATCACCCTTATATGTGTTCCAATTTCAGAAAATCCGACTAATTGAAGCAGAATGAAGAAACGTATGGAGACACACAATGTTTCGATGTTATAAAATGGACATACTTCATTGAATTCATTTAAATAGTAGGAATAATTGTGCAAAGCAAAATCCGGTGTAGTGGGTTATATAAGAAACGGTTATACCCACTATCCCTCAACTTTAATAACATGGTCCCTAAACTCCAATAACGTTGACAGTGCTAATTCCATTAGTGCCCTCAACCGTTTTTATTTTATTTTATTGATTTAACTAACCTTTAATTGAACAAATAAAAGATAAAAAACAGCAAAACAAAAAAC